AACTCTATCATACATTCATGCAAGTGAACATACACTGTTCACAATCATTGCACAATGGCTGCCTTTAGTGCATTGTTTCACTTCAGCAACACGACTGAGTCAAACTCTGGTTTCTATTTTAAGATACTAACTAGTAATAAAAAACGCACACAAACACCACACTAGTGGTCACCTAACAAACGCTAGGGCATGTGATGTGATCCCAGTCTCTATATTGCCATGGAAACGGACCAGACTGTTGCCGAGCATCAAAGTAGGTACTGTGGTATGTGTTGTGTACTGTGTATGACTCCACCTATGCAGTGTTATCTCTCCTGCCTAGCGGAGAAGGTCGATGCACATTGCACTTCTTAAAGCAGAGACATACTGTAGCTCTGTCAACTCCTCTTATTAATGCTGTAAATGTTGCCATGGTGAACTCCCGTGGGATGTGCAATTAGACTTGCCACTTCCCTACAGTATTATTTTGTAGTCTTGGCCAGTGACTATGATGAATAAATGTACAATATATTTTTGCAGTTCGCCAATAAGCAGGCTTACTGTAGATGTATGTGTGTGCGGTTGGTATAAAAAAAAAGCTAATATTTTGAAGGAGAAAGCAATGATTTTGCTGTGTGTGTGTGTGTGTGTGTGTGTGTGTGTGGTAAATGTAGATATCTACATATCTTTTTAACCTTCAAAAATATAGTGCAGTGAATTCAGCTCACTGGATAGTACTGACTTTTTCTCTATCTCTCTCAGCCTCTCTCTTCTCCGTCACGGTTGGGTGATAATTCCCTTGATTGGTCATTATATCAAAATTGACCTAAAAATCTTAAATTCATCCACACTTCATCCACACTCCACAGTGAGGAGACATCTCCGATCTCTCAAAATTACAGGGCAAATACTCACATCTCTGTAAGGGATAATCATAGAGATATTAGGACTGATATCGATAGTGATGTACTGTAGAATCATCAGCGCTACTAATGCTCTTACTTAATAACTCTAAATCATTATGAGTCAGATCAGTCAGACGTGATCCACCCTGAAAGGCACTATTTGGCGCTGTGACGGTTACAGAGGCTGACGGACAGTCTCCAGGGGCCAGGGAGCCGCAGTTCAAGTTTCGGGGCGGTCATCCACATATATTCGCCATTAGTAAATGTAATTTCCACTGCTGCTAAAATAGAAGGGCGAGGGGAGGAGATAGATGGGGCGAGGGGAGGAGATAGATGGGGCGAGGGGAGGAGAGGGGGAGGCGAGAAATGTGGGGAGGCAGAAGGTGAGAGATGCTCAGAGCAGATGACACAGTGTACATTTAGAAGGGCCTCTCGGAGATGAGCTCCGTTCGCCCTGCTTGGGGACTTTGGATGCGCTGCTACGACAGCTGTCGGCCCCCTACGCAGTGTGTTCGCTCCACGAGCCACATGTGTGACTGGCAGGGAGACGATGTTACTCTCCTGACGCAAACCCTCTCTCTCTCTCCCCCCATCGCCACCCCTCCTCAGCGCCGTAGCCAGGCGCCAGAGAGATCACGAGCGCGCGCTAGCGCGCGCAATGAGCGCGCGGCGCGCTGACGCGATCGGTCTCCTCTCCGCTCTCTCTCTCTCTATGCGCTTCGATGCTCTCATCCGTACTATCTCTCGTCTCATCTCTCTCTCTCTCTCCTCTCTCTCTCTCTCTCTCTCTCTCTCTCCTCTCTCTCTCTTCTCTCTCTCTCTCACACACACTCACACAATTACACACATAACACACACACTCCAGCTCATTACACAGATGACAATGAACATCACAGGGCGTGTGGAGGAATTCCCATGGACAGCAGTCATATCAGAGCCGTAATTGAGAGAGGGGCACACCTGTGGATGCCATGTGTGGTGTGTAAGGTTGCAAAATTCCTGGAAGGATTGGAGGATTCCTGGAATCATGAGGGAATAAGCAGGAATTTTGCAACCCTATTGGTGTACAATGTGATTAGTAGAGATATAGGGCCGATGGGAACCGTGATGTATAGGGTGAATGCACCAATTTGTAAGTCGCTCTGGATAAGAGCGTCTGCTAAATGACGTAAATGTAAATGTAAATGTGTTATTACCATGGCCTGTCAATAATTTATTGATTTAGTGTAAAAAAATATTTTTAAGCCTTGAGACAATTGAGACATGGATTTGAGACATGGATTTTTAAGCTTTGAGACAATTGAGACATGGATTGTGTATGTGTGCCATTCAGAGGGTTAATGGGCAAGACAAAAGTGCCTTTGAACGGGGTATGATAGTAGGTGCCAGGAGAACTTGTTTGAGTGTGTCAATAACTGCAACGCTGCTGGGTTTTTAACGCTCTACAGTTTCCCGTGTCTATGAAGAATGGTCCACCACCCAAATCATATCCAGCCAACTTCACACAACTGTGGGAATCATTAGAGTCAACATGGGCCAGCATCCCTGTGGAACGCTTTCGACACCTTGTAGAGTCTATGCCCCGACGAATTGAGGCTGTTCTGAGGGCAAACGGAAGTGCAACTCAATATTATTGTACACTCAGTGTAAATTGGAGATTCATGGTTTACATTATTCCTGCCCATCACAGGTATTATATCATTATCTTAATCCCTACCAGTCATGTGGTCATGTGGACCCCTACAAATAATCTGGGCTAGACAATCTGGACCCTTTCTTTCTAAAACTAGCCGCCGAAATTGTCGCAACCCCTATTACTAGCCTGTTCAACCTCTCTTTCGTAACGTCTGAAATCCCCAGAGACTGGAAAGCTGCCGCGGTCATCCCCCTCTTCAAAGGGGGTGACACTCTAGATCCAAACTGTTACAGACCTATATCCATCCTGCCCTGCCTTTCGAAAGTTTTTGAAAGCCAAGTTGACAAACAGATCACCGACAATTTCGAATCCCACTGTACTTTCTCCGCTATGCAATCCGGTTTCCGAGCTGGTCATCGGTGCACCTCAGCCACGCTCAAGGTCCTAAACGATATTATAACCGCGATCGATAATAGACAGTACTGTGCAGCCGTCTTCATCGAACTGGCCAAGGCTTTCGACTCTGTCAACCACCACATTCTTATTGGCAGACTAAATAACCTTGGTTTCTCAAATGACTGCCTCGCCTGGTTCACCAACTACTTCTCAGATAGAGTTCAATGTGTCAAATCGGAGGGCCTGTTGTCTGGACCTATGGCAGTCTCTATGGGGGTGCCACAGGGTTCAATTCTTGGGCCGACTCTTTTCTCTGTGTATATCAATGATGTCGCTCTTGCTGCTGGTGACTCTCAGATCCACCTCTACGCAGATGACACCATTTTGTATACATCTGGCCCTTCATTGGACACTGTGTTAACAAACCTCCAATCGAGCTTCAATGCCATACAACACTCCTTCAGTAGCCTCCAACTGCTCTTAAACACTAGTAAAACTAAATGCATGCTCTTCAATCGAATGCTGCTGGCACCCGCCCACCCGACTAGAATCACTACTCTCGACGGGTCTGACCTAGAGTATGTGGACAACTACAAATACCTAGGTGTCTGGTTAGACTGTAAACTCTCCTTCCAGACTCACATTAAGCATCTCCAATCCAAAGTTAAATCTAGAATTGGCTTCCTATTTCGCAACAAATTGGATGTAGTCTATCACAGTGCCATCCGTTTTGTCACCAAAGCACCATATACTACCCACCACTGTGACCTGTACGCTGTTGTTGGCTGGTCCTCACTACATATTCGTCGCCAAACCCACTGGCTCCAGGCCATCTATAAATCACTGCTAGGCAAATCCCCACCTTATCTTAGCTCATTGGTCACCATAGCAACACCCACCCGTAGTATGCGCTCCAGCAGGTATATCTCACTGGTCATCCCCAAAGCCAACACCTCCTTTGGCCGCCATTCCTTCCAGTTCTCTGCTGCCAATGACTGGAACGAATTGCAAAAATCTCTGAAGCTGGAGACTCTTATCTCCCTCACTAACTTTAAGCATCAGTTGTCAGAGCACCTTACCGATCACTGCACCTGTACATAGCCCATCTGAAATTAGTCCACCCAACTACCTCATCCCCATATTGTTATTTATTTTGCTCATTTGCACCCCAGTATCTCTATTTGCACATCATCTCTTCAACATCTGTCATTCCAGTGTTAATACTAATTGTAATTATTTTGCACTATGGCCTATTTATTGCCTTACCTCCATAACTTGCTACATTTGAACACACTGTATATATATTTTCTTTTGTATTTTTGACTTTATGTTTTGTTTTACCCCATATGTAACTCTGTGTTGTTGTTTTTATCGCACTGCTTTGCTTTATCTTGGCCAGGTCGCAGTTGTAAATGAGAACTTGTTCTCAACTGGCTTACCTGGTTAAATAAAGGTTAAATAAAAAATACAAATAAATGTTGGTCTCTGCATTTCAACCTCATGATGTTATCAGTATGTTATCATTATTAACACCATCAAGCTTACTTTACCACACAAACAGTAGTGCAGTGCGGTGTCAACATCGCACAGCTGGTGTCATAGATAATCATTCCCCATTACTAGTCTTTAACACAGACCTTCTGTGCTCTTAGCTACCAGCTACACCACTGCAAAAGGCCTATTCATGTCAATCTACAGAAAAGGCCACCATATTGGTCTTGTCTTGGTCTCTGCTAATCTTAGGCTAATTTGTGCATTTAACTAGATAAACATCAATTAAGCAGTCAAATATGAATGGAATAGCAGGGTCCCGTGTGCACTTCCTGAACCTTTAGATTAATTTATCTCTGTCTGATACCATATTATCTCATTCTAGGCACAGTGGGCTCTGCTACATGACTGACTCATGGTGAGCAGGGTTCTCACTCCTCTCAGTATGTGTCATGGGATGTAACAAATACCATGGAGTTACATGTACACAGCAACTATGAATATAAATAACTAAATTGCAAAAGAGTCTGTGCTGCTACTTAAACTACTGGAGATACTACGCAGTCAAATTGTTGTTGTTTACGAGTAAGTTAATGGCCTGACTCACTCATGGGGTCGGTGGGTGCGGCGGGTGGGTTTTCACACAGCTCAGTCTTGGCCTCTCCATTGGGCCTCTCGCTGGGCTTCACAGAGAGACGGGAGGACATGGTTGCGGCAGTGACCACGGCCTTGAAGCTCCTCTTCCTCTTCTGCACGTTTAGCTCCGGGTGGAAGATGATGACGTATACCTTGGGCATGTAGAGCATCCCGAGAGCTACAGAGGCACTGAGGTTCATAGAGATGGTGAGGGTAGTCGTCTGAATGTACAGCTGTGGAGTGGGGGGGGGGGGGGGGGGGAGAGAGAGAGAGAGAGAGAGAAGCCACACTAGTTAGATTACACTCTCATGCAGTAAAACCGCCTATAAAGAAAATTGCCCTTAGCTACTGTAAAGCACCACACATTTACTTATCGTTCATTTCTCCATTGGTGGTTCTATGTGTGCGTTCTGATGCTGTGGGGGAAAATATACCACTCGTACTCCTGTAGCATTTATGAGGCACTAACTACTGTATCCGTAGTGTATGTAGCAGCAGTAACTGAGCAGTTGGCTGGGTCCTAATTGCTTCTCCACTGCGATAGCTGAAAATGGTGGCTGCTATATGCCGTTATACGACTTTCTTCCTTCATCTCACTCCTTGGTGACCCTTGACCTGAAAGAACTGAATTAGCAAATTTAACCACCTTCAGATTAGTCATTGGACTGGCCTAGGTCTGACTGATGTATTTAACTGTACATTTAAAGGTCCAATGCAGCCGTTTTTATCTCAAAATCGAATCATTTCTGGGTAACAAGTACCTTAATGTGATTGTAAAAAAATGTTTTGTTACAAAATAAACTAAAATAGCTTCTTAGCTAAAAGCTATTTCTCAAACAATAATTTTGCTAGGACTGTCTGGGAGTGGTCTGAATGAGGGGCATAATTGGAGGAGCTTAATTGGAGGGATATGTAACCTGAAAACTAGCTGTTATTGCAGAGAGGAGGCGAACACTCTTTGTTATTGGTCTATTAACTTATACTGCCTGGTTATGTCGCCAGGCGGTCCAAAATCCCACCCATGGAAAACAAGCTGATATTTCAGGTGGTTTTTCATAATTTTCACAATTTCACAGTATTATTCCAACCTCATAGTGTGGAAATATATATAACACACAGGAAAATCATGTTTTTAACTGCACTGCCCCTTTAAGAAGATTAAGATACATAAACACATATAGGCTTGCAGTTTTCAAGCAACAGTCAAAGACCAAAGGCATGTACTGTAGTGGGCGGTTTAGTATTATTTCACAAAATCATCACATCACTCATGTCACTCATGTTTGTCAGAAGTGTATAAATACCACTAGCTGCTTTTATCCCATATTTTTTTTCTAAACTTACATAACACCATTTATACTTGAATGTTAAACACTCTGGGCTATATCTTTGGTTTGTTCTGAATTATGTAACCCTATTATTAAAAGGTAATCGTCGCTCAATCAGCCACGTAGTTCACAGACCTGCAAGAGGTCCTTCCATAGTCTTAGATTAGGCTGAAACACATCTCTGTGTTTCAAGAGAAGTCCACCAAAAGCTACTCAAAACTGAGCTATGGCACTTGAAAGAGTGAAATGCCACTCTTGTACCTTTTCTGACACCCTGTAGCAAAGAGGATACAGTTGTAAAGGTCTGCATGGTAGTACAACTATGAATCTGTTGGAGAGGAAATGTCACCATTTGCACCATTTGCATAGTGTTTTCCACAGTAAATAGCACCAGCCGTAGTAACGCCTTGCACCCAATCTACAGAGAGACATTTACATGCCAGTCATGGCATCTGATCTCCGCAACTCATTCAAATACCAATATCATCTACATGCCAATAGCTTCTTCTATTGCCTCCTCTCTCGTTCACACTGTTATCACATCTCCTCCTAACTCACTCTCATCGTAACATCTTCATATACTCTCCTCTCATCTCTCTCTCTCTCTCTATACTCTCTACACTCATCTCTCTCTCTCTCTCTTCTCTCCTCTCTCTCTCTCTCTCTCTCTCTCTCTCTCTCTCTCTCTCTCTCTCTCTCTCTCTTCTCTCCTCTCACTCTCTCACTCTCTCTCTCTCTCTCTGCGGAGAAACATCAGAGCGAGAGATCTGGCTCACCATGCATTAATAACCGTGCGAATACCATGGTGCTCATATCATGCTCCTCTCAGCGCCTTACTTTTCCGCACCATTGTAAACAGAAGAAAATGAAATTGTTGTGTGTGTTTTCCGGATTGCTGTCAATTTACAGCGTGTGTGATTGGCTATAGGGGCCACTGATCAAAGCCTGAAGCGCTCCATGCTTTGTAATCGCTCATCACCAGAGGATCTCCACCCCTCGCTATGTTTCCATGTTTGGTATCCATAGCAAGACCACCAGCATCACCACCACAGAGTTTGGTGCAAGCTACTAAAACACCACTAAAATAAACTTGTAATGAGATGATCTACTGCAATACTGACCCTATCAAAATAGATTCATTGACTATGTAAGAGACTTTTTACTACGTAAGAGATTTTTCTACAGTAGCCCACAAGAAGTGTAAGAGTCATACACACACAAATGCATGCATGCACATGCACAAACACGCACACACTCACACACACACACACACACTCACACACACACACACACACATTAACACAATTTTGGTAGTTAGCTGTCCAAGCTTCTGTCACACAGACAGGGTTTTTCAGAGTGCTTCAGTGGGAGCTTGACCCAAATTCGCATTCCCTCTCACCCACCACATGAATGTTTAGCTTGTCACAGAGCATTTATAATTAATTCCTGTTGCTTTAACATAAATAAATACATGAAGTAAATTTTACAACTGCTTGGCAACTCTCTATTTATAGCTGCAGTAATGATTTATTCAGATTCTAATCAGGAATCAAATGCTTGAGCCTGAGTTTTACCATCTCAATGAAGAGCATCGCCAAATGCCAACATCCATGTAACAGGAAACCAATCCACCAACCGCCTTCTATCTACCCGGACAAAAAGCTGGTGAAAGGTTTTTAGATAATTATGCCCACTAGGGATGTACTTAAAGCACAGGCAATGTTGTATGGTATAAGATGGGGATTATAAATGCACACAGAGATAAAGACACCATTCAGAAAAGTGACAATTAGGATGCTCTCTTGCCCTGGTGGAGAACGCCTTCAATAATGGATCTGGGGGATTTGCATTCTCCACTCATCTACCTGGAAGTCTCTTGCTGCTTTGGGTGGCCTACTTTCCCAGCCTGGCTCAGCTCAGTCAGTTCAAAAGGAAGTGTGTCTGCGTGCTGCTATGGGGACCCACTTCTCCCTCTGCTTATGAATGGGCCTCTCATAAACTCTCTAATTGGCTGTCACTCACCTGCTGCAAATGCCCATGCCTGGGCCGGTGTAGATGACAATGGCACAGAGATTATGTTTTGGGATATTACAGGAGGCGAAAAAACATCTGCCTTGTTCTGCTGCAAATATCTCTACAAAAAAATTTAATAAATAAAACCTGTGATGCCTTGATCAGAGGAGGCTGTTTATTAAACACGCCAAAACTGAGATGTGCTCAATGGGAATGTCTATTTATACAATGTGAAGTCTTGACTTGAATATACTGACTTGATGCTGTTACTATAGGCTACCTACAATAATTTCCAGTTATTATCGACATGTGCTCAGCTTATTGCATCCTTTTAGGTTACCCTCTTGGCCTGGTGCTTTCTTGTTAAAAAGATATCCCCCCTTTCAGAAGACATTCTCAATCTCTAACCACTATAATAAGGATAAGGCTTAACTTAATGCCCCTGGTTCCCGCAGTTCTCCTTCTGTTGATTGTAAAGCTTTGGCGAGCATTGCATGTTGTTTGAGGTTCCAGATTGCAATCCCAGGCAGACACAGTCAGTAGGCATCCAGAGTATCAATTCAGGAATGCAGAGTGCCTTGACAAAGAAAATGTCATGTCTAACTCTTGTCCCAAAAAATTATTTGCTGAAATACAAGCAGATCGGGAGATGCTGCTGCAGAAGATGCTATTTTTCCGCCCCCTTAAAAGTTGAAGGAGGAAATGCTTCTTGCCAGACATCTTTAATAACCCTTTAAGAAGTTCACATAAACACAAGTGACGTCTTACAAGACTTTAAGTGCTTCTAAGACGTGTTGAGGTATTAAAGTTTGGTTTAACATGAGTTTCCATTTCCGAGTGTGGTTAACTCTTATCGAAGTTTCTATACTTTCAGGGAAAAGTTTGGTTGTGTGATGTTTGGTGTCAAGAGTCACCACAGAGTTCTTCACAAAGGTGGTTTTCACTTGGTCAAATGTAGTGAATGATACACAGTTAGAGATTACTTAGAGATTCTTGAAACATTCAAATACGATGGGTAAACCTGGAACCTGATACCTGATCACTCCAGAATGTTTTAAATTCTTGTAAAAAACAGCAGACAATATGACAGTTAATACCCACATTTTCCAATGTTATTTGCGGCTTTGCTTGAATTAAACACAGGTGCACATTCTTATTACAGGATTATTCACAATACCTTACAAGTAGTTCTATTCCAACAGTTACATACTGTTGGATCATTCCCCATTCCTAGTGAGTGGAAGGCAGTGGCACATTAAACAAGTTGGATTTGGAAGCTGGTGATTCTCACAGTCATTAGCCTGTGTGCTGACTGATGAGCGGCTGACTGAGAGAATGCAGGTGTAGAGGGACCGCTGTGTGATCTTTTGTTGCCGTGTGTGCATGGCTTCACACAACATGGGTTTGGGTGTGGGGGAGGCACAGGTGCGGAAAAATAAGGGCAGGCATCGGAATGGCGCGGAGCTGCAGAGAATTCAGTCAATACGGCAACAGAGCTTTGGCTGTGCGATCAAAGCGGGATACAATAACATAAGGTCAACTGGATATCTCAATCTCAGACTCAATATTAGGAGTTCCCTGGCATCGTATCGCCACCATGTTGCCACACATCTTTAGATAGTGGGAGTCCCTGAATGGCCAAGATAAATCTAAATCAATTAATCAATTAATGCTTATCAGTCACAAGCAACAAGTGCAAGGTCATTTTGAGATAAGGAGCCTGGTCAAATATAGCAATCAGACCCTGTGCACATAGCAAACACACACATGTGTACATGCGCAAATGCACACACAAACAAACACACAGACACACAAACACTTAAGGGGTAATGGAGGGGTCCCTGTAAACCACTCCTCCCTATCTGCTGAAGGCCACAGGAGTGGGCCTACAAAGAGCCTTGCATCAAGAGGCTAGCACTTTCTTTGTGGCTTAGGAGTGTGTAAGATGATAGCCAGTGTTCTGTAAGAGTTAACTGCATCAAGATAGATAAACACATTACAGGCTCTCTAGTCACTGCGCGTAACATAATGTACTCCTAATCGCTTCTGAGAGCGTAATTCATCTATGAAATCAGAGGCAAATTGATGAGGAAAATCATTTTGTGATCTCTCTCTTTCTGTAGCCTAGCAGAAAGGATATTGAACGGTGCGACTCTCAAAAGGTTAGGAGTAACACTTTCCTGTCGACGTCGATATTCTGTCAGTGGAAAACATCCACTCAGCTACATCATGTACAGAAGGCCTGCCAAGCATCACACGCAGCTCCTGAATAGAGCAGATAAATGCGTCTGTATTCTGTCCAATACTGTTCAGATAAGCAATGACTAGCACAGAGGGTCAGGATTCTCAATCAACTCCAGTAGCTGCTGATGTCAAGTGCATTTCTAAAGTGCACCTTGTCAAGGAATGGAATGTCGTGAGTCAGACGATTTATCCCCCTTTTTCTTCTCCTCCTCCTCCTCCTCCTCCTCCTCCTCCTCCTATTCCACCTACTCCTCCTCCTCCTCCTCCTCCTCCTCCACCTCTTCCTCCACAGGATGAGGCATAATAGTGTTGAGCCCCAGGCTTGAGAGCTAAGATAATTACTACCCCCCTCCTTTCCATGCTCTCCTCAGGCATTCATCTTCTTAGAATATCCCCCTCCCCTTTACAATGCCTATTTACGTCTCCTGCGGTCCTTGTGTGGGTTTTTTATGCACATCTAAGCCATATGAATTTGAAATCAAAAGAAAATGAGTCTTGAACACACACAGCCACTGTGTGTGTGTGTTTGCTTATGTGTGTGCCTGTTCTTGCGTCTCTATGTGTGTGTCAGTGTCAGTGTGTGTGTTTGCATGAGATAAAACACAGGCTGGAAGGAGAGGAAGCAGCGCAGCCGGAGGGAGAGGGAGAGAGGGATGACTCACCTTCTCTGCAGACTGGGCTGTGCCAAAGAAGATGGGGATGAAGGCCAGCCAGACGATACAGGTGGTGTACATGGTAAAGCCGATGGGCTTGGCCTCGTTGAAGTCTTCTGGCACGTCCCGGGTCTTGATGGCGTAGATGGTACATGTGACCATGAGAAGGATGCTGTAGCCCAGCGAACAGATCATCTGCAGGTCCGTGATGTCACACTTCAGCACGCCACGCGCCAGGTTGGGGTTCATGGTCTTCTGCTCGTCGTAGTCAATGATGGTGTTGGGTGGGTCCACGGCGAACCAGATGAGCACGCCCAGCAGCTGCAGGCAGATGAGGGAGGAGGTGATAGCGATCTGGGAGGTGGGGCTGATGAAACGTGGGGCGGTCACCGTCTGCTTGCCCTGCTCAAAGATCCGGTAGATGCGGTTGGTCTTGGTGAGCAGCGCGGCGTAGCTGATGCACATCCCCAGGCCCAGGAAGATCCTCCGGAAGGAGCACACGCCCACATCGGGCTTGGCAATCATCAGGAAGGTGATGATGTAACACAGGAATATGCCCGTCAGCAGCACATAGCTCAGCTCGCGGCCCGATGCCCGCACAATGGGTGTGTCATTGTAGCGTACGAACGTTGCCATGACGAAGATGGTGGCGATGATGCCCAGCATGGCGAGGAAGACGGGAATAACGGCCCAGGGGGAGTGCCACTCCAGCTTGACGATGGGGATAGGTTGGCAGGCCGTCCGGTTGGGGTCGGGCCTCATGTCGTAGGAGCACAGGCGGCACGAGGTCTCATCATACTGGTACTGGTAGCCATCACACAGCTCACAGTGCCAGCAGCATGGCATGCCCTTCACCCTCTTCTTCCTCTCACCTGTCTTACAGGGCAGACTGCACACAGAGATAGGAACATCCGGCTCCCCTTCTGGCCACTGCATCTCCTCGAGCTGAGAGAGAGAGAGAGGACACAGGCCACGGGGTGAGAGGGAGGTAAGCAGTGGAGGTAGCACTTCAGATAAGAGGGCTGGTCGATAGGGATGAAGTGGTTTACATCTACCTGACAGGCAAATGGGCCTGGACTTGGTGTGTGCATACAGGATGAGGTACATGTCTCATGTCACACCATGTCTTACTGGCTAACTCGCTACTACTGCAGCAAGTGCTATACTCTAGATTACACTTAATATAACCTCCATTGAGTTGTTGCAGCGGAGAATACAATATCTCTTTCATCAATCATAAGATTGCTAAGAATAACCTAAATAAACCAATATACTTTCATGTGTCCTATTCCGTACTCAAGAGTAATTCATATCACCATGGAGACAGAACTTAAAAGAGAAAAACAATGAAATGCCAGACACATACAGTATGTTATGTGATTAATAAAGAGCGCAGAAGCCAGAGAGGTATGAAAAATGGGATTTGTTTAGGAGAATCAGATTTACCGCCTTAAAAATGCTGATTTTACAACAGTTTTAGAGGGGGAATTTCTCTTCAGAATTGTTATTTTGTCACAAAGATGTAGAGTCGACTACAGAGAGAATTTAGAGAAGGTTACTGAATTACTTAAAACATACTGAGCCTCAACACTCCTGTGGATTTCTTTGGCATTGCATTTGACGACAATATTAGTTTAACAAAGTCACACTTGATGTTAAACCTTAAAGTCAGTACAAGTCATCTAGAACAACTCTTTGTCTTACACTTTGCCATCCAACATCACAACTTGTATAATTTTCCCCATATCTCTGGCTCCCAAAAACCATGACATATTTGGAATGATTCTGTAAATTGCTCTGATAATAATCACATTAAAGTCTGTGCTGGGGCTTTAAGATATTACACAACCAGAGATTATCACACCAAAAGATTCAGCTGTCTTCAAATCTACTCATTTTGTCTGGTCAATACCTTAGTGCAAGCCAATACCTACAATGACTACAGTGTGTGTGTGAGCATTCCTGTATACGCTACTCTCTCATGTCCTGCAGCTCACGTGTATGACAAATGTGTTGTCTCAACGCTGTCTCAGTGGATTATGATCTGCTCTCAGTTATCTGTGCAGGGACTGGGGGCTGTGATTTGTTATGTGGACAATGTTGCTCCCTGGAACAGGTCCTGATTAAACACTGACTCTCCGGGTGGAAACAGTAATGAGACCAACACCACTGTTGCTATGGAGACCACAAAGCAAGATTTGTCACCTTGGACTGATATGGCTGCTGTAGTTATAATTTATTTATTTATCTTTCTTTATTATTTTGGGAAGAGGGGTGGTTCGTTGGGTTTGTTGTTGTCAGGGTAGATTTAAGCCGCATTTAGACACACACATTATGATGCAGCTCTTCATCAGAGATGACATCATCAACATCATCTGTCTCCTCAATATTTCTTGACAAACTTATTTCATTAGACAGGTGCCAGTCTTTTTCTGCTTTAGACAACTAATCGTTGTCTTGCCAAAAAGCAAGCGCAACAGTCTCAGGCCTATAGGCTAATTCCTCAATTTGATTTTACGTTGCTCTTCCTAAACAAGTTTTGTACTAATTAGTGGCCAATCAATCCCCATTTTCTCAAGTGCCACTTATATTTCTCTGATAAAAAGTCTCTGCACACTTTCAGTCCGATGCAAATTGCTTTAAATAGTAGCTGAGCTTTCAGTCAGTCGACCTTCATCAGAGACTTCATCAGAGCATGCGCTGATGAAGGTCGACTGACTGAAAGCTACTATTCAAAGAAATGTGCATCTGACTGGAAGTGTGCAGCGACTTTTTCCTGTTTTGTCTCTTGCTTCCAGCACCTTCACTAATCAGCTTTGGGTATGTGGTAGATTCTGCCTATTATCCACTTACATTTTTCTAAAATGAATTAAATGTATCTCTACAGATCATAAATATAATCAAATAAGGCCATTATAAGCATTATAAGGATTTTTGGACCATGTGGCCTTGGTCCCAGCCAAGATTACAGGCCATAACCTTACCCTGAGTCGGAGTGTCTCCACCCACTGTCCGATTGGCCTGTAATCAGGAACACTGGAGTTGGTCATCTGAAACTGGAACAGGTCGTAGCGTCCCGGGGCGTCACCGTTTTTATTAAACATAACCGACGTGCCTGCACTACCTGCAGGAAGACAGAAGGAAGGAGAAATAGAAAAGGAATGTGTTAGTTTTATATTGAGTAGATATTTGTGCAAATAATTGAATTACACATGCCCATTTTATGTTAAGATTCAACCAATAAAGGCCTGTGGTTGGTCTTCAGCACATTGGGCCAACAGTACATAAACCCCTGTGAGAGAAACATTGACATTTAACCTAGTGTCCCATTTTCTGTGGTTTATAAGCTATAAACAGTTCTGTGGACATCGAAGGCCACAGGGCGTGCTCATGTACTAATGGGCTATTCCTAATGACCATGACTCATTTCCTGTCCCCATTAGAACGCTAGCAAGTTAGCTAGCTCCCTACTGACTGAGATGATTGCTCTGTTGTGAAAGAGTGTGTACTAAGGCTATCCAACACCACACCGCAGCCCTACATTTCACATCTGAGCACTTCAGTTTCAGAGCTGTGTGATACATCATTAGGTCAATGCGCAGCATCAATGAAGCAGTGTTCAGCTTTAGGTTATCACATCTGTGCATCAGGAATATCATACGGTGCCCATTCTTCAAGACCAATGCACATTTCCTCTGGTCAAAAGTAAACCATCTCAATCACACATGCTGGACAGGAGATGAAGCAAAATAAGATAAATAGGTCACCCAAAGCATCATTCGGTCCCCATCTGGTCGCAGTTTGTAGCAGCCTGTCTCAAGCAGAATACCGCAGGCTAATTAACTTACTGAAGGTTCTGGACACCTGAATCACGATATTCGAGAAATGAAATCTGTGGCTTGATTTGTGTGTGTGCGTGTGTTTGGGAGTGTGTGTGTGTGTAGTTGTGTAGGCTATTCATGTACATGTGTCTGTGTATATGACCTCGCCATAATGAAGAAGTTCTTGAGAACTTAAAAATAACTAAGAAGAAATGAGTGGCCCTCAGTGAGAGTTGGCCCTGCTTTGTTGATGTGACATAGAGCCCTATACAACACACAGTGAGGTTGATGCCTCTCATCCTGCCATTGTAAGAAGGACTGTATTACTCCTTCAGTTCAACAGTGAGTTAACCTTGGCAGTGCATACAATAACTCAATGGCATAGTAGACACCATTTCTAAAATAGGACTCGAATCCGATCTGGCATGGGAATTGACTGCAGTTATAGTTCTGACTATAAAAAGTGTAAAAGAGGAATGACCAATAACACTGTCCAAAATGGTTCTGGGGGACATGTTGCCTTTGTGTTTTGTGTAGGACTTTGGCTTTGTTAGGTAGAGGCTGTACCCCAATGCTGTACACCTCTCCTTTTAGTTTGTGTCAGGAGGGACTTTCAGTAGCCTACACACCAGTTTTCTTTCAAGGACATTTGTCATTGAACATTCTACAAAAAAGCAAGGCCAAAATGTCCCCTCTAGCAGCAAGCAACGAGATTACAGAGAGTAAAAAACTCATTTACATGCACCATACATACAGGAAGAGACCTAAAGTATACAGAAATCTCATGGGAGGACTGAATCTGCCACTCTATCAAAGTTTGTATGACACTATTCACTATCTTCAACAGCTTTGGAAATGGCAGCGTTAATATTCTGCAAGGTGTATTAGAAGAGCTCAATTGGGTTCAGAAAGGGGAGCTAATTCACTGAAACAACTTCCACTCTGAATGTGTGCTGAATATTTTGCTGATAAACAACGGCTTGTGTCAAGAAAATGTATTGTCAGCTGTCATAAGCTAACATCAGCTGTCATGAATGTGTAGGACATCAATTGTGTCCGTATTATACCATGATTATGTAGCCCTTATTAAGACAAAAGGCTCATGTAAAGTGTTATGCTACCAATACTTGTACTAAACATACAGTATACAGTAGCTGCAGTATTGCAGAATCCTCTTTAGAATGAAACTGAAACAAACAAAAAAACACACAGGGGTGGTAGTCAACAATCTGTCACTTCTGCTTCCAACAGACAGATAATATAATTGTTGACATACTGTATCTAGTTGTTGACATGGTGTTGACATAGTACACTGTGGGTATGACAGGTCTACAAGACTGTCTTGTTCCACGCACATAGCAGTACAAAGAATCCCCCCCCCCCCACACACACACAAACACACAGTCAGTAAGCAAATAATTACGCAGCGTGGCTCTCCTTGCAGATAGGAAGCCATTACAAATTCCATTCTATTGTACGTTTCCTGTTATTCCCAAGGGATCAAAATGATCTGTGTAGACAGCTTTGTGAGAGTGCCGTATAAGATGAAAGATTCATACGTTCGCATGGGGCTCTGAACTAAAACATGACAAAAGTGCACTGCTGCTGTGCTGTGTCGAGCAGTGTGGGTGGACTGGAGGCTCTCTTTCTTTCACTCTCTTAAGCTCCGTCTCCAGCACAGTGGGGAGAGCAACAAACCCAACTCACACAGGCACGCACACATGGACACACACACATGCATATTCACATACTCTAATATATACACACACAGGTGAACATGCACCCGCACGTGCACACACACACACGGTCCAGCCAGGATGCGGGAAAGAACACATAGATTTGGCTGTCAAAGATACAGGAGTACTAATGTTGGCTTACAAGTAGAAAGGTTAGTGAATACTGCTTCAGTGGGGGTAGACAGAGTAAAGGCACATTTTGTGAGCTGAGCATTCCTCTGTGACAGTGTTATTGCAAGTGTATTACAGGTACTGTATATGTTTAGCAAGAGTGCAACAAATTACAGCAACAGCTTGTCTGCTTTTTTTCTGAATGCTGTTAGAAGTACTTCATGCTAATTATTGTACATTTATACACTCTTAGAAAGAAAGGCGCTATCAAGAACCGAAAAGGGTTCGTCGGCTGTCCCCATAGGAGAACCCTTTGAAGAACCCTTTTTGGTTCCAGATAGAACCCTTTTGGGTTCCATGTAGGGTTCTACATGGAACCCAAAGGAGTTCTACCTGGAACCAAAAATGGTTCTACCTGGAACCAAAAAGGGTTCTACCTAGAACCAAAAAGAGTCCTCCATGGGGACAGCCAAAGAACCCTTGTGGAACCCTTTTTTCTAAGAGTGTATGAATTGTGCGGACCCATTGACAAATACCAGCAGGCAGCAACAAAGCCTTTCCTAACATCTATCTGAGACCACCAGAAAATGTAAGCCTTAAGACCTTGAATAAGTCTATTTCAGATATGGTTATGCCACATAGTAACAACACATACATGAGAAATACCAATGTCCCTCTGCCAGGGAAGGTAACTCATAGAGAAGACCGGATAACAAAGTAACACAGTATCAGTACTAACAACTAAATAACTCAAATTAGAAACAACTTAGAAATCTGTTATTCAATTTGTTATTGCTTTAGTTAGTGTGTCTACATGCTTATGAGGTTTTGCTTAAACCATTAATTATTTTTTGTTTTATCTAAATGAATAATTTGCATAATGTAACCAACACTGCTGCGGTCATCCTCAGTGGCAATATGTTGTTCAAAGTGAATCGAGAGCATGCAGTAATGAGAGAAACATCACATACTACTGGAAAAATTATATGCTACTGAAAATATTAGGATAGGCTACTCATCCTATAGGATGAATCATTAAAGGAGCTTGGCTACGTTTCATTCAGTTGCACCCCGTTTAATAAGAGAGGAAATGCAAAACTAGCACCTGTCATGATTCCTCGCACATATGCTGACTATCATGACGCTTGCTGCCTACAGTTTTCTTTCTATCTGATTAAAGACATGAAGTCCAGACAGGGTAGGCCTATTTTAGGAAACTTTCTGAATGGACATAGATAATTAGCAAACTAATACACCCACCTAAAAGGACCCATCAATCAAAGCCGCCTGCAGAGCTTCTCCCTTAGACACATAAGGAAGCGAACGGAATTTACACCATTGTTACCTGGAGGAAAATGTGGGAGGTTCATGCTTTTTCAATTTCAGTCAGGGCGAGGGTGCAGTATATATATTGTTTTATTCCAGGGGAGGGTCATGTAATTTGTAATCGATTAAATGTCATATTGCTTAGGGTTTGATAATTAGTTGCTTATTATATCTCGATGTGTGCCCGATGCTGCCCCTCATCCCTGACTCTCTGCTGGGTGCACAATATCAAGTGTGGTCTAAATCAAATGATCCATAGCCTATACTATAGGCTGTAGGCCTAGGCTATACGAAGAGCAATTATCGGAGAAGCACAGGGCAAAGTTATGTTTCTAAGAAAATGTACTTCCTTCCTGAGTTTTTGCGCTGCTGGGATGGTGTATATAAAACTAGACGACACTGCATTACACACTTCAATGGATAGGCTATCCAAATCATGAGCCCTGGCCTTCTCTGCTCTTGTTGATGTAAACCCTTTTGTGCTGCCAAACTAATAGCTGTGTTCTGTATGGTGGCACTTCAGAAGGTGAATCAAAGTCTTCTTCCGAAAATAACGTATTATTTGTACAAAAAATGCAATATCTGTGCGCGCAGAGTAGGCATATTGATGTCCTGTTGAGTTGGGAGAGGGCGGAGATGAGAAGGAGGACCGGAGGTAAGCTTGCTACTGCTATAGTTGATTTGAATGAAAACAATATGTTTTGTTGCCCATAATGAAGCTATTTATCAGAGTTACTGACCTCACAATAAGCCATACTCCAGTAATTTACATAACTTACATTACTATGAAGCGGCAGCCGCAGAGATGGACAGTGCATGGGTGCTGAAAGTATATACAGTGCATTCGGAAAGTATTCAGACCCCTTGACTTTTTCCACGTTTTGTTTTGTTACAGCCTTATTCTAAAATTGATTAATTAATTTTTTTCCTCATCCATCTACACACAATACCCCATAATGATGAAGCAAAAACAAGTTTTTTGAAATGTTTGAACATTTACTACAAATAAAAACTAGAAATACCTTATTTACATAAGTATTCAGACCCTTTGCTATGAGACTCGAAATTGAGCTCAGGTGCATCCTGTTTCCATTGGTCATCTTTGAATGTTTCTACAACTTGATTGGAGT